TGCCATTTTTAAAACATCTGTGTCGAGTGAATGAAGAAATTGCGGTCGCTATTGATGGTAGCTTGGCTATTTAAAAATGGTGGGTTTGTGCAGGACGTCCCCTGACGTGATAGTAACAATTCTCTCTGACCAATCGGTGGTCTGCAGTGTTTTAACTCCACCTTCAAGTATCGACTCAGCTTGCGCATCATTGTGCATCTGTTATCGTTGCATCTGTGCTGCTTTTCAGGCACTTAAACCACAGCATCCTGCACGCAAGGTACTAATCTTGTTGGTTGTGATTGGTTAACAAAAGGTTGCCTATTGGTCAGAAAACAATTCAAAGCGTTGTATCCCTATAAGGGTGAAGAATAAGTGGCGTTTCATTTGTAGATTTGCTGGTGGATTCTGAGCTGAAGGTGCATGTCAACTCTCATCTGCTGTCAGTGAAGCCTGCTAATGTGATTTACACCATCACACATGGGAAACACTGGGGGACAAAACATGGCATGAGCAATTGGGAGGGAAAAGACAAGTGGTAAGCCAGACGTGGAACGAGGGGGAATACTGAGGGAACCGAGCGGCAGTGGAGAGATAAATTGTTAAATTAACACGGTTAGACATATTTAAGTTATGACATAATCAGGCTGACAATCAGAAAACAAGAAATCAGGGAACCAGACTGCTGCAGCTGTTAACACCGATAACAACCATATTACACCCACACATCCATTCTTCTGAATCCTGTTCAGAGTCGCAGGGGGCTGGAGCCCAGCCAGTATCCCAGCATGCACTGGGTGAGAGGTGGGGTCAAACCAGGACAGGTTGTCAATCCGTCACAAAACTAACACATGTAACACACACTCACGTGTACAGCACGGACACAAATTGCTTGGAATCCACTTTATTACCTGGATTTGCAAGAACAAACATTTAACTTGGCCACATCCACACACTGTGGGAGATAAAAGTGTCAACATATTCCAACTCCTGACCCTGAACATTTTCTAAATGCTTTCCAAGAGATCTGCCACCGAAATCCAACTCTCATTGGCCTCTGACTTCCTCTGGGATTAATCGTTTTGTACGTCGATATTGCCAATAATCAATGTAACCGACGGAGCCATGGTGCTTATCATCGCTGACTTCACTCGGTGATCTGGGGAGGAAAACAGCCACGGGCTTTAAACAATACACATTCAATCGTACAAACATTTATATTGAGACATATTTGAGCGGGGACGTCTGTGTGTGTTGTGTTTGAGTGTCTGCAACTAAGTGTGTATTCATAGATGGCAGAGATTCAGTGCAGAAACACACACACACAATATACAAATGGAGTTTGTTCCTGCCAAGTGGCTCCATCTTAACAATTACAGTTGTCAAGGAAACAGTGTCTGCCTCTATTTATTTCTCCAGCACATAGGGCAGAAAGTGAAAAGGAGTGTGACTAGTGTGTGTGTGTGTGTGTGTGTGTGTGTGTGTGTGGGGCGGGGGGGTATACTGCAGTATAGGGAGAATCAGAGGAACAAATTCACCTTTATTACAGCACCACGGCTTACACACATTCAATCTGAGCTCATTCTTTGTGTCTTGTTTGCTTTAGATACTGCACGTAATGCAGCAGCCTTCTATTGCACAATAAGCTGCAGGGACGGCCCCAAGAAGTGGAAATGCTGATATAGAAAATACACATTAATGAAGCAACACTTACAAAGGCCACAACTTACTTTAATTCCACCTGAGAGAAACATATTTTGGATGTCTGTTGTTTGTTAAGTAATATAATCTTTACTCGCAGAAAGGTTTGGAAAATGAATGCCGTACAAATTCATTAAAAACACTTTGATGGAAATGAACAAGAGATGGAAAAGATATAAAAACAGATGCACAAAAGATGCATTATTAGCAGCTCAGTGAACTTGATGTTTAATGAGCACAAAGCCTCAACTCCCTCTCTGCCTCCCGCTTGGTGGCGTGAGAATGTCTCTTCGCTCCGTTTCCTTCTGCACACACTTTTTTGTCGGCCTGCAACTTAATATCCAATACGCCTGCACAAATGAGAATTGTGAGCCGTAGACGTACAGTACAATCAACCTCCTTAAATGCACATGCACAAAAGGAGGTCGATGCACTGCTGAATGCACACCAGCTGCGCCACAGATGACAGGACGACTGCGCTTCGTTTGATGAATATCAAGCATGTATTTAGGTGCAGAAAGCCTCTGACAGCAGAGGAAATATGTGAGGAAGAGGATAAATCTGTGTTCTCTCTCTCTGATTCTCTGTGTTTTTTTTTTAATCCATTTGGTATCCCCTCAGGCATATTTGTCATGGCTCGGAGTAGGTGGGAAAACAATTAAGGTTATGTAAACCCGTCTTGTTATGTAACCGCTCCTGAAGTTTTAAACGTTGCGGACACACCCACTCAGCCTGGTGAATGTCAGTGTGAATGGTCGGGAGTGTGTGTTATGCAGTTCTTCTTGCTTCACTGTGTGGCAGCAGCGAAAGAAACAACTCGAAGGAAAGCAAATGTTTGTCCAGTGGTTTTCTCACTTAGCCTATATAACAGATTTTCCATTGGAAACATTCCTCAAGTTAGTGCATGTCATTTCACGTCTTTCTTTGGGTTTTTCTGCCTCCCTGCTGCATGAGTTGAATTTGAATCTGACCCTCTGTCTCTCCTCTCTGCTGAAGTTCAGTTGATTTTTCCAGTAGTGCAGCTCAGTCCTCTTCTTCATTTCATGGTGGTGGGGGGGGGGATAAACAAGGGAAGGGGGAGCTCAGTCTGAAGTCTCTGAAGTGATGAAAGCTTTATACTGATCTATTCTTCATATTCATACAAGGTTTCTTTATTTTTAAACAAAATGATGCCTCCATTAAGCCAAACAAGCTTTCTGATCAAAGCGATATCCCAACAGGATGCTACTTTTTGCAGTGATTGCTGTAGGCATAAACAAAGAGATGCAGACAGATGCTCTTTGTTTTTTCAGGACAGAGACTGACCTTTGCGGCTGAGTGCAGGTAATAGCATCAATTTACCGGTGAGAGATTTGTGAGCCTCCTCTTGTCATGGCTAATGCTTTCTCCAAAGCCTGGCAGGCTGCGTGTGTTTGTACAAGGAGAGCGGGCTGAAGTTGGGTAATACGGGACAAACTATGTTTAAACTTATACAAACTTTGCTAGCATCAACAGAGCTTAGCAGGATTTGGAAAGAGAGCGTAAGTGGGGGGAAGACGGGACGGTAAGAGAGGAATTCAGGAAAATATTTGCACAGATGTGGGTGCCTGCTGAGAGTGTAGCTCTGAGGTGTATAGATGCACACCAAAGGTTTACGGAGGTGCTGTTTTTCATGGTTTGGGCCAGGGCCCTAAGTGTCATTGAAGGGAATATTAATGCTACTGTCATACAATGGAATTTTGGAGTGCTTCCAACTTTGTGGGAACAGTTTGAGTGTAAATAATGACTTGACTAGCTGGCACAGGTCTCTGGCATCAATCTCATCAACCACACTTTTGTCTAACAGTTGGAGCATTGTTATGGCTTGTGAACACCTTGCTGAAGGAAACTGGCTTTGTTACATAATCATAATCATGCATAACCCATCTATGTTTATTTAAATCACAGTGTATATATATATATATATATATATATATAAAAAGGAAGAACAATCACCTGTTGACTGTTTCTGTGCAACATTAGGTAGATTAGAGGCTCAGTTGGAAACATAGATATGCATTTTTGGGAAGACTCAAATCAGAATAATCAAATATTTTGCACTTAAGAAATGGAGTTTTGTTCTGCTGTGTCTCGGTGTAAGAAAATACTTGGATAATTGATAAAAAGTAGATGGTTCAACAGTGTACATGAAAATGTATGTCAAGGAGTCGACTACGACTCCCAAAACGGGAGCTTAAAATGAATATCATGTGCTAACACCCGGCAGAAGCTTAAGATTACACCGTTCTTTAAAATTCGCGGTCAATTGAGGAGGAATTCAGCTACTATCGTGCTCTGGCTGGCTTCCTCTCCTCAGCAAGGATGTACTAAGTGGTGGCCATAACATGAACCTTTTAAGTTTGTTACATAAGCCAGGAGACTCTTGTGTTTATATTTTCAGTAACATTGAAGAAAACTAACATTTCTTCCCACTTGGGAACTCTGTTGCATCTCCGGCTGCGAGCTAGGCCTCGCCAGCCCAACGTCAGTGTTTCTCCTCACTGCTGCTCTTCTGGCTGAATGGGATCAAATCCCTGCAGTGATAGCGTGAGGTCAGTGTGTGAAAAGCTGTTGTTTTGTTATAGATTCTGTGTTGGATCATTCAGTCAGTCAGTATATGTGAACGTCATGCTCTGCTCTTCGTGCTGCCCTTTCTTGTTGTTCACATGATCAGCAGGTCAGCTGGTTTGTCGGGGAAGTGTTTCTCCCCTTTCCCCCCTGATCTCCCATCTTTCCCATATCAAGTCATTCCAAAGGCAAATGTTAGGTGTTTCATCCCTCACATTATACTCACAAGAGACCTGTGTACAAAGAAAGAAACGACACGCTGTAAATCAGGAAGGAACACAAATCAAACGGACATATTGAACTGTAAATGGTACCATGGTGGGCTGACTCGCAGATGAAACACGCTGTTTGTTTCTCTACAAAAATCCATCCATTCTGTCTGAAAGTTACCTAACACAGCCTCACAAAGACATGAAAAAACATGTCAAGAAAGGCGTGGCACTTACCCAATCTATCATGAAGTTTTACAGACCTTATCCACCGTTGTGCGGCTCTACTGAGAGAACACTTCTAGGGATTTAAGGCTAAAGAAAAAAGTAGCACCTTCCCCACAGTCCCACATATTTCACATTTCAAACAGACACCATTGTACACCACCACATGACAATAATGACACATGACAAGAATGACAATAATGCACAATCAGTATACAAGTGTAATCTTGCCTATGTGTGGTGCAGGAAGTGTACTGTATGTGCCCTTACTCACGTCTCTGTTTCTCTGTCTGTCTGCAGGTTTGAGTGCAGCGAAGCTGTTGAAAGCCAATGGACTGAGCCCTGTAGTCCTGGAGGCCAGGGACCGGGTCGGTGGTCGCACCTTCACCGTGCGGGTGAGACCAGGAGAGCTCACATTGCTCCAGATGCTGCTATTAAAAACAGTATTTGTGCAGTAGAATTCTGTTGTGCTTCAGTTATTATTAAGAATAATAACAATAATGATGATACATTTTATTTCTATTGCACCTTTCGTACACAAAATGCAGCTCAAATGTAGACAATAACGATTGGAATGTAAATATACATTTAAAAAGAGGAGGGAAGTAAAACAATGTATGAGCTGCAATTGAGTCATACAGGGCATTGCATTATTTGAGCCTACTTTTAATATACCCTTTCACAAACTGCTCTTCTGGAGGAAGAAAAGGTCGGACATTGGCAATTTATTTGTAAATGATAGTAAGCTTTTCTAGTCGATGATAACGCTAAATTTTGTGCTGGGGTAGTGAAATGACTGTAGGTACATGTCTTAACTTTGCTCTTTTGGACCGACAACAAGGACCATAGTTCTATCCTGGTTCAGCTTGATGAATATTTGGGTCATGCATAAGTTGATGACAAAGGAAAAGAGGAGTAAAAAGGGAGGTAAGTTATCAGGATCAACAGCTATATAGAGTGAGGTGTCATCTGCATAGCAGTGAAATGGATAATGGGCTTATGGATGATTATAGTATAGTGTCAACACATGAAGACTGAAAAGTAGTGGACCCAGGACCGAGCCTTGTGGTACTCCATGTTGAGGCTCTGTTCTTTGTGATGAGAATCTGTGTTATTGAGACAAAAAAAAGTTGTGGTCTAATTGGCAGGACTAAACTCTCTCCAACTGTATCTGTTTATTTGAGAAGGGACATTGCATATTAATAAATAAAAATGCCAGACATAGCCAAAAAGGCTATTTTTCATCTTTAGTCAATGTCCGAGGTGTTACAAAAAGCTTCCTAAAATGCATACCTGTCAGTAAAACCTTTGTGTGATCAACAGCATACTTTTGAGCATTATCTAGTAAAGTCAACGTTTTTCTTATTCATCTGGTCATGTCACGACGTGTTTTTCTTTTCTTTTTCAGAATAAGGAGACGAAGTGGGTTGACCTGGGCGGAGCTTACATCGGACCAACTCAGAACCGCATCCTCCGATTGGCCAAAGAGTACGGCATTAAGACCTACAAAGTCAACGAGGAGGAGAGTCTGGTGCATTATGTCAATGTGAGTGCAGCATTCGTGTGTGTGTTTGTTTTAGGATGGCAGATAATATTCTGCTCCGAGCTTTGGCTGATCTGTTCAAGCTAACTGTCCTTCAGTTTGATGTCTGCTGTAAGTGTTGACTGTTTCCAGAAGATAACGCAAACATGCTAAGCTAAGCTAACCGGCTGCTGGCTGGGGCTTCACATTTATCGTGTTGATCTTCTCATCTCATTTTCTGCAAGAAAGCAAAGAAAACGATTTTCCCAAAAATGTCAAACTATTCCTGATGTCCATGTTGACTGACAAATATCTTTGTTGCTTTTATTTGTACATCATCTCCCGTCCTCCAGACTCTTTACCTTCTTAATGAGACTCCCCTGCTAGCTGTTGCCTTCAGCATAGGCATAATGTTGGTGAATGTAGGATGGTAAGCTGTTCTGCTAAGGACACATGGAGGATTTTGGTGTCTCCTATACAATCACTTAACAGTTTATTTTCTCTGAGTGGTTGAAGGAACCGCAAAGCAAAAAAAAAAAGGAAGGAAGGAAGGAAGAGGCCATATTTGTTCTTGTTATTCTTTGCGATATATCTCATTAGTGTGGGCGCACTGCTGTCCTTAACACAGTTGTGTTCCTCTTCTTGATTTGATTTGCCGCTGCAGCCTTGTACCCTGGTCAAACTTACTGTAAATCACTGGCTGGCAGCTTTCTGTGTATCTGTGTGTGTGTGTGTGTGTGTGTGTGTGTGTGTGTGTGTGTGTGTGTGTGTGTGAGAGTTTATCGCAACATAGACTGTGTTCAAGTAATTGAATCGTAACTTCAGAGATGGACTTTGAGCTTCTGGCCTCGGGGTGTATAGAGCACAAACTTACATACACAAACCCACTTTTTACTCCATTAGATAGAAACCTGTTGTGAATGTCCACCGCCCACTTTGAAAGGCCCGGAGTTTTATAAAAACCGAGGAGAACTACACACAAAAATACTGGCCCATGAATCAGCAATAAACTCAGTATTGTAGGCTTTAAATCGATTTATGTCAGGGTTATTGTATTAGTGTTTTATCATATTATTGACCACTGCTTCTCTACTCCCATATAAGGGATTTCCACTATAGCAGTGATTGTGCACCTACTGTGTGTCCTGAACCACCCTGAAATCAACCTACGATCAATTTGTGATATCATTTAACAGCGCTAGCATGCTCAAACTAAGTTGTTCACCTTGCTAACGGAGAAACGCGGCTCATTGTGTCTACTGGTTCAATTCCCCTTTCACAAAAGTAAGAAAGATCGGAATATGATTGGTGGAGACGCGTTTTAAGTGACACACTTAAAGTGATTACACTTCCTGTGGCTTTTTCACAATAAAAGTATTAATGAGTAGCATTGATAGGAAATGCTGCATGTTTATCTTAATACGGATCTTATATCACTGCTGGAGAGCGAGCAGGGAACCAGGAGGCTTCTATGAATGAGGCCAAATGAACAGTAACACTGGAGTGCATGTAAACATCGGTTCAAGTGAATCTCGTGTGTGTGTGTGTGTGTGTGTGTGTGTGTGTGTGTGCAGGCACATAAACTACTATCTTAAGGATTGCAACTTAAACAAAAAGTCAAGTGTCATATATGTAAATATTTACTGTGATCTACATTCATCTGTCCAGTCAAACAGACAAATATAAAGTAAAGTCTTAACTTGAAGGGGCTGATACACTTTTTGTCCTCTCAGGGAAAAAAGTCCAGTTCCAGTGCAACAGGCAGGATACCAGATCATAACTGAGCACAAACAGACCTCTGTGTTCTGTTATTAAGACATACGTCTCTTAACCCGATCAACGTAATCTCTCTGTTATGGTTTACTTAATTCGTCTGTCCATTTAAACTATATTGTTTTGCTATAAGTACTAATCCAGTTTAAGCTTGGTTTTCTAGGCTTCAGGTTCATCTCATCACTTTGTCCTTAGAACTGATGTGTTATTGACTTGACCTACTTCAGCAGTGCTGTGAAATGTCAGCAGCATGACATTTGGCTCCGACAGCAGTTAAAGAATAAATCTGCGGTTTAGTAAAGGACTTGAGTGGACAGCGCTGGTGATGTGAAGCGTTCGTGTGAGCACTGAATCCGTCCATACTCTTCTCTACAGCAGCTCCTATGCGAGTGTGTCTCCTTAGCTACTATCGCTGTAAGATCCACTCAAAGGCCCAGTCTCACACACTCACACACTCACTCTCACACACTCACTCACTCTCACACACTCACTCTCACACACTCACTCACTCTCACACACTCACTCTCACACACTCACACACTCACACTCACACACTCGTAGCTTCCTGGCTGGTTTCCATGGCAGCATGCTTCATCAAAAGCTGCTCACCTCTACGGTATGTTTGTGTGTTTGTGCATTTGTGCGTTCATGCATCTGTGCACGCAAATGTTTGGAGGCGTGAGACGAACTCTATTTCTGGAGCCGCTGATCTCACAGCTGAGTCTGCAAAAATGTTGCGTACAAATTTGAATCCCCACTGCAATACGTAAAGAATGAGGCCGGTGATATTCTAAGCATTTTGTCTGTGTAGCTCAAGCTACCGCACGCATGCCTGTTGGTGCATTCTAGGACAAAACGGCATTAACATTACAGACAAAATGAACACATGGGTGCAGTACAGAAAGACTGGTAGCGGGCCCTATTGCGGTGTAGGCACACCCTTAAAGCTCCAAAGCTTTAATGGACTGACTCTACTGGGTCTTCATCATGATCAACATGACAAAGCAGGCAACAAATTGATTACATCCTGATCCAGCAATAGATATACAGTTACACTTACAATCCAAAGACATTACTTAACATCTAAACGTGACAGAACTGCAACAGCACTCTCTTATTGAATCTGTTATCCTGCAACTGGCCGTTCTGCTGTATCGCATCTAGAAACAACCTTTGATTTGTGCATCTTTGTCCTCATCAGCACTAGAGAATAAATCCAACCGTTACCTGTTCTTCACCACACAGGATTTTAAACATGTGTGTTGTTGCGAGTGTAACCACACTGTCTTTTGATTGTAAGTAGCTTTGGATTAGCCAAGAAGCTATTCAGATGAATAAGCTCTAAACAGACGCAGCATGTAAAAGTTTAAATTCTGAATTCAATAACAGAGGAAAGCACGCTGGATTAAATTTATATGAAAGGGTCTGCATCACGTCACAGGGCAGCAGCTTGAGTAGTAGTAAACCAGCATGTGTGCCAAGCCTTTGTGTAATTAGGGCTAGCTTTTAAGCAAGCTGCGTAGCTAATCAGCTTTTCTATGGCAGATAGTAATCCAAAAGGCCAGTGCTGGTTTCCCTAATCAGCAAACTACTGCCTTACAGGCAGCATCAGCTCTCAGCACTGGATTTATTAATGAGCTATACCTCTATCAGAGACGGGAAACAGACTTTGATTAAATACTCTCCCCGGTTATCAGAGATTGAGAAAGAGAGCGTGGGGTTGTCCCATCGATCCTGCAGCAGTGTGGACGTCGTGCATGTTTGCACATTCACGGGGCCACTGGCAGAAATGGCAGATGATTGTGCTGTTTATGATACTCAATGATAGAGAAAGAAGTGCCTGCGCAGCTCCCTTATCTGTTTCCATGTTGCCTGCAATCTAAATAAAAAAGATAACATTCATCGGTAGCCTCATGAGAAATCAGACGCAGATGAACTTAGAACACTATTTTTCTCTAGTTTCATATGTCAGAATATAAAACATAGTGCATATCAACTTTTAACCCACAAAACCAACAACCAATAGCCAGAGAGACTTTCTATTTCTTCATTAATATTTGTTTACTGAAACAGAACAGAAGCTTACATTAGAAGTAGTGTTTCTGGCTTCATGATGAATGTAAGTCCAATGTTCATTCTCCTTTTAGCTCTGTTTTGGTCTCCACCAGCTGAGGAAAATATCTGTCTCTTTAGCCCCTGAACACTCCACTATGGTCACCAGATAGTTGCTAACTTTGCAGGTAGCGTATAGTGGGTTAAAGGGAAACTTGTATCGTTGCAATGTGGGTGGTATGTGCAAATGAACAATGTTCTAGCTGGCAAAAAAGTCTGCGGGATGATACGCAAATGATACGTTTCACGTCAACACAGATGTTTTGAGTGTTGGTTTGAGTGGGAATCCAAAGGTTTTCTGTGTTTTTTTTAACCTTAGAGATTATAGAGTGCCAAAAGCAACATATTCAATCACTGTTTTTTGTACTTTAAAGGCAAATTTGTCAACCTGGACCCTATTTTTCCATGTTTTCGTGTCAAAGTAAATGTGTTTGGGAGGCCAGATAACAGGTGGAGAGACTTTGTCATTTACAGGAAAAAATGAAAAGGAGCCAAAATGAGAAAATGTATTCAATAAGAGGCCATTATTAACTCAATACTGGTGGAGCCCGATCCATTAAAACTGTATGAGAGGTTGACCAGACGGCCTGTGCTCTGGGCCTGCAGCTCCAGCAGAATAGTGATCCACTGTGAGGCTGAGAGCACTCACACAAAGGCCTCGCCATATGGAGCCAATCTCTGTCTCTTTCAGCGGAAGCTGGGGTTTGAAACAAATGTACTTGTCAAGCTAAATGCCAGTGATGCCAGAGAGAATATCCATGGTTACTTCAACAGATTGTCCCCCCCTCACACAGCTAAGAGACAAGCAACTAAAGAGAACAACCTCTAACCAGAGTTAGTTCTGCACGTCCATATCTGAGAGTAACCTTTGTCCCTTTGGAACCATCACAATTGTGTGGTTGAGAAATAGAGCAACAGTCCAGACAGACGCACAGCACATGGATTTACAATCCTATCAGACTTGATGACTCTGAGTATTTTAATCAGTTGGTAAATGTTGCACAACTAAAACGAGCTGTTCTACAGTCACTCTGACTAAGCACATTTGAGGTCGGCGTAGCGTGTTCCCGAAGGCAAATAGCAATATTTTCACTTCGATCTAATTCAATATCTTTAAAGTTTGTGTTTTCTTCAAAATATGCCCTCAGCAGGGTGTGAATTACCTTAAAAAACCACACAAGGACATGAAAACCATTCAATTAGCAGCTCTGTAATGCTGGATGCTCGTGTACATTACATATTCAGCGGGATAAGGAACTCAGGGATACAATGCTGCCTTTCAAAGAAACAGGCATTTAAAGATGCTTTGAGAAGTGTCTCCTGCCTTATAAACTGCTTGTAATTAGGAAGAAACTTCTGTAACTTCAACATCAATATCTAACTTAAAACAGCCAACACAAGCCGAATATTCCACCTGCCAAACTCTGACGTCAACACGTGTCCGTCTCCAACAGTGTGGCTCTGAGCAGTTTGAAATGTGACACATCTGCATACAATGTGAGTGTAATGTGTGTAAGTTGCTCGTAAAAAGCAGTGATTCCACATGTAGAAAACTGATGATTATAAGAATTATTTTTGAAAATATATATATTGATGATGACTTGTGTCCAACAGGGAAAGTCTTACCCGTTCAAAGGCTCCTTCCCTCCCATGTGGAACCCCATCGTCTTGTTGGACTTCAACAACCTGTGGAGGACAATGGACGAGATGGGCAAGGAGGTAAAGCAAGAATCACCCTTGTTGTTTTGCTTTTACTCTCCGCTCGTTGAGTCTCATCTTTGCTAAATTCCTCCTCCTCCTCCCCCTCCTCCCCCTCCTCCTCCTCCTCCTCCTCCTACTGTGTTTCAGATTCCCAGAGAGGCTCCCTGGAGAGCTCCCCATGCTGAGGAGTGGGACAAGATGACCATGAAGGAGCTGTTTAAGAAAATCTGCTGGACCAGGTAGAACAGAAAAGACGGAATTATATTAAATGTCCTACCTAACGAGAGTGAGAGCAATAGCTCAGTACAGCAGGATAACGGTATTATAGAAAGTCAAATTCATCTTTAACTTTGTTTGTTGTGAGTTTGTCTCAAAATACGAGCGTAGGGAGTTGGAGACAGAGTCTGTAACCATATACTATAAATAAAAAATGATTATGAATCAAAAACTTGTGTAGGATTGTTGGTTGAATCCCCCTCTCTCTTATTTCAAGAACCGTTCGTCACTTCGCCGAGCTGTTTGTCAACGTGAACGTGACCTCTGAACCCCACGAGGTGTCGGCTCTGTGGTTCCTCTGGTACGTGAAGCAGTGCGGAGGAACCATGAGGATCTTCTCCACCAGTAACGGAGGACAGGTGGGTCTTTGTGTGTATGCGCACACAAGCTCCTCGTAGCCCACAGAAATACATTCACTCGATGCAAACCAGGAAGTTGAGCATCGGTGAGAGATCTCACAGCCCCTTAAATCAGCCCTGTAACATTAGCTTAGTTTACTTCAGTTTGCTACTGATCAACCTCGCATAATTATGAGCCAAACAAAAGCTGTTTTTTTGGAGTGCTGCGGGAGAACATTCTGTTTTCGTACTTTCTAAAGCAGAGTTTCCCTGTTGCCATAGCCACTGAGGAAGGGAGTTGTGTTTAGATGAACAGGGCCAGCTCTGTTGTCATGTCCCGTTTGCTAGCACACATGTTTATGGGTGCATGCATGTGTGTGTGTGTGTGTGTGTGTGTGTGTGTGCGCAGTACATTTTTGTCTCGTTCTTTGTTGTCAGAGTCAGATTACAAAGTTTGCCACGACACATGTAAGGCGTAAAGTATTGCGTTTGAAGGCAAGTTCGGTGATTTTCACTTTCAAAGCAATTTTCCTCAGAAGCTGAAACTCCTTTAATCAAACGAGACAAACACTGACTCACCTTGTTTCACTGCCAGCACCCATTTGGGTTTAGCTCAGAATCTTTCAATGGCGACTGGCAGGCAAATTCATCCAAATCACACAGTGGCGCGCACACAATGTGTTTCTAATCAGGGAAAGCAGAGAGATCTTGACACTAACCATATAGGAAAGATCACTGTCTTTGTCATTTTGTTTATCAGAGCTTTGGCAGCACTTCATTTCCAACCCCTGAGTCCTCCTAAATGTAGTTGTTATCAGCCTGGCAGAGTCGTACTCTCAGAAAGATCAGACTGGATAGAAGCAATTTTACCCAATATAATATGAAACTTGCAGGTAGAGCATAAAAATAGCTAAACCAGAGCGTTCCCGTCTCGCTGCATCCGCCCCCTGTGGTTGCGGTGACGGCGTCGGTGACTGACTCCTGCTCTCTCCATCCACCTCTGCAGGAGAGGAAGTTTGCAGGCGGCTCCAGTCAGATCAGCGAGGGCATGGCCGGGGAGCTGGGAGACCGAGTGAAGCTGGAGTCTCCGGTCTACAGGATCGACCAGAGCGGAGACATGGTGGTGGTGGAGACGCTGGACAAGCAGAGCTACACAGTAAGCATGTCACAGCCATACAGTCATGGAGCTTTGAGTCGATGGGGTTTGTGCCTTTTAAGATTAAAACAGTGACCCAACTTGTAACTTCTTACAAAAAAAATCTTTGTCTATATGTATGAGTTGTTAGCAGGTCTACCAAAAATGCGTTGTTCCTCTAAACATCATAGTTTCAGTTTAATAACTGAGGTCAAATGAACCATTATTTCACAAAACAGTGAAGATGAGAGAAAAATCCCAAAACTGATAACAGATTTGTAAAGTAAAATTATGTTTTCAATTTTTTTTCTTCCTCCTTTAATCACCTTAAGGCCTGGAATAAAACGTCAACAGTTTATAATGTAGTTTAAACTAAAAACATGGATGCATGTCTTAACTATCCATGAATGTCATCATATATCACTTACAGTCGTCATTTTTCTGCACGTGTACTTCTACTTATGAAACTTTGAGTACATGTTGTACATTCTTTTTACGTTAACGTAATGGTTGTTTTTACCAAAGAAAACAATCTGAGTACTTCTTCCAGCGCTGCAGCCATGTTTGCTATCAATGTAAACATATTAGTGTAGTAACACATGCAGTTTTTGCACACTACATAATGTGACATCATTTAACATTCCACCAACAGTCTGACTCACAACGTGCAGCTGGCAATATTACTCTGTGCTGCCATCTACTGGTAGCTTGTCGACCTTTCGACCGTGTGATTCAGCCCACACTTCCCTGTCCCGTTTGTGTCGGCATCGCCTCCCTCTTTATGATGCGTGTCTTTGTCTCAGGCCAAGTACGTGATCGTGGCCACGCCTCCCGGTCTGAACCTGAAGATACACTTTAATCCCGAGCTGCCCCCGCTGAGGAACCAGCTGATCCACCGCGTCCCCATGGGCTCTGTCATCAAGTGCATGGTCTACTACAAAGAGAACTTCTGGAGGAAAAAGGGTACGCAGGAAGACGGAGGATACGGGGAACCCCGAAGTATATGTCGTACTTCATGTTTTACACTCTTTGTTCTATGCGTCACCAAGGTTACTGTGGCACTTTGGTGATAGAAGAGGAAGGCGCTCCCATTGGCCTGACACTGGATGACACAAAGCCTGACGGGACCGTACCCGCCATTATGGGGTGATCATATTAAATAAGTTAATGTTATCATTATGTACCCGGAACCACATGGTCAAAAGTATGCGGACACCTGAACATGACACCCATGTGTGACTGTCTCATGTGATTTAAAGTCTGGCATCATGCTGTATTAAGACTTCCTTTCAATAGAACACACACAAAAAAAGTGTGTGGGCAGTGCGCCCACATCTGGCCATGTAGTGCACACTACGTGTACCTGGAATTGTGTATTCACCACTTCAGTGGTGAATATTTTCAGTGGATGATATTTCTCTTCTCCCTCTCCTCCAGATTCATCCTTGCCCGCAAGTGCAGAAAGCTGTCGGGGCTGACCAAAGAGGAGAGGTAGGTGCATGGCGGAGACAACACAGCCGCTTAATACACCCGCACAAGCTGCAAGAGCGGGTTTTAATCCAAACACGTCGTCTCGTTTGCGTTTAGGTTGAAGAAGATCTGCGAGATCTACTCCAGAGTGCTGGGCTCAGAAGAGGCTCTGCATGTGAGTTTGGAATACAGACCGGCAAAACGTCACGCTGCTACGGTGGCACTGCATCGCTAGTTAAACCGTTTCATGTGTCCACTTGTGTCTGTCAGCCGGTGCACTACGAGGAGAAGAACTGGTGTGAAGAGGAGTACTCTGGGGGCTGCTACACGGCCTACTTCCCCCCAGGAATCCTTACGCAGTACGGCAAGTAAGTCGCACAGATGGAGTTGCTCGCAGTAAAAATATCGTGTCCCGATTCTCAAGTTGAATTTCTTCGCTGTCCAACAAAAACTGTCCAACTGCAGCTTTGAATGAAAGATGAATTTACACAAAACAGTTCGATGCAGTAATAAAATGTATTTGCGGTTGGTTTTATGCAGTGGTTGTGCTCTGCGGAGACTAATTTAATCAAAGGCCACTTTTAAACTCGATAACCTCTCATGCTCTCTGTCTCTTCCTGTCTGCAGGGTGCTGAGGGAGCCGGTCGGCAGGTTGTACTTCGCAGGCACAGAGACGGCCACAGAATGGAGTGGCTACATGGAGGGGGCAGTGCAGGCCGGAGAGAGAGCAGCCAGAGAGGTCAGAGGTCACCGCAAAACACCCAGAAAGAGCGAAAGAGATTTTGAATGTTTACCAGTGGAGTTGACAATGTGTATTTGCTATTTCGAGCTTTCAGTTTTACTTTAAATATCATCAAAAACAGGTCTTTACCTTCGTGAGGAAACGTGCTGCAATCCATTGCAAGTCGGAAGTCGATAATTATGAGTCTGCGATCTAAATGCTCGGGAAAACATAGACGCCCGCAAGTCTGTCTCGTGACAGAAGACCGAACCATCTTTAAATCAATAACTAGTGAATCCTGTGGGGAGATATTTCTTATTCAACAAGGCATCACCTCAAAATAGAAAACAAATAACGACTTTTTAAGACTTTTTATGACCTAAATTGTGAAAATCTAATCTCGAAATGTTTAGGATCAGCAGGAACCCTGTTAAAAGAGACAGGAGGAGTAGGCTCTTTGTATCTAATGTTGTTACGGCATATTTCACAACACAAACGTAATTCTGCTTACAGCTCACTGTATGTGCAGCCATGTTTCTGTGACGTTTGTTTATGTCAGGCGTACTCAGTTCTGGATGGATCTCGTCTGAGTTTCCGACTCGAATGACCGTTAATACACACCAGGTATGCCTGGTGTGTATTAGGCATGTGACATCATCAGCCTAATTGATGCAAAAACATTTTGAAATGTGTGCATAGTTCGCTTTCTTGCCAAGAGTTCTGAGAAGAAAATTCACATGGTGTTAAAATAAATAAATCTTGAGTGTTCTGACTTAACGACCAATGTGTTCTGTTGCAGGTCCTGTGTGCAATGAACATGATTCACCAGAGTCAGATCTGGCAGACGGAGCCCGAGTCTTTGGTGAGGGAAATCTTTCTAAACAATTGTTTTGGGAGCAAATTAAACTCAAAAGTCAAACTAATGTAACCTAAACTCCTCCTTCTGTCCCTCCAACAGGAAGTCCCAGCGTTCCCCTTTGACACCAGCTTCTGGGAGAGAAATTTGCCTTCAGTCCGGGGTCTCCTTAATCTCGTGGGATTCTCCACCTTCCTGTCTGTTGCCGCTGCAGCCGGCCTGGTGGCCTACAGGAAGGGCCTCCTGCCCCGGAGTTAAACGGCCCAAAACCGTCACCTCACTCCTCTGCATCTCAACGGGGGGCACACCTCCATAGACACTCCTGTACTTCTAGTGCACTACTTTATGGCCCAAACTTCTAAGTAGTGAACTATGTTGAGTAAAGAGTGTTTTAGAAAAACACTGGTCACACGAAACACTAATGCACCAACGCTCTGTGCACAAAGGAAAGAGAGAGTGAGACAAAGAAACGTGCTGATTAGGAGTTAAGAGATGCTAGTGTGAGAGGAGAGAAGAAGACCTAAATTCAGTTTAAGTCTGCAATTAATCTGAGATTCAGATTTTGTGAAACCAATGAAGGAAAACAACAGAATCAAGTTTAAAAAGGAAATATATATGACTATATATATATATATATATACACATATATATATATATATATATATATTACAATGAATATTCCATAAATTGCCAATAATATTCACATTCTTGATTACATGTGAGTTTATTAACTCGTCATGCTTTCTGTCTGTGTGTGTGTGTGTATGAGCTTTGTTTGTATGCATGCGCACATGCTTTTGTGAGCATGCATTTGGGAGTGTGAGTTTGTATAAAGTGTGTTTGTGTGTGCGTGTGTGTGTGTGTGTGTGTGTGTGTGTCCGGTGTGTCTAATTACCTCTGCTGGTTATAGGTGCTAATTTATTCTGGCCAAGCAGCTGTAGCTGTTTTTAGAGATCCAGTAACACCAGAATAGAGTTGTGCCATTGCCCGTCGTAAAATCACAGAGGAGGTTTAAGGATAAGGCTGGTGATCTTCTATTTTCTTTTTTCTATCAACTAATCCCATCAATGCTTTAGTCGTTTACTTTTATGAAGTATTGTCTGTGTTTCCAAAAGCCGGATTTATCTTCTTCATCTGTGCCTCAGAGCTCAGTTAGTTAAAAAAAACACACATAAATGACCCACACTGTTGCACTGGTTGGCTTGTTCCTCCATCGTGATGAACATCCAACTATCCTAAATTTGCCTCAAGGCTTCACAATGTACGGCATATGAGAACCTTCACTAGTCTTGTTTTAAATGCACGGCTGAAATTAGTCCAAATGCAGTATTCACTGGTGTTTGAGTAACATTCGCTGAAAATGACAGTGGCCAGCTGTTAAAGGAAATAACGGCCTTTAACTATACTGTGTATTCGTGACCCGTTTTCAAAGGATTTACATCTTCTGTAGGAAGAAACGGACGAGGGGCTAACAGGGTAGAGAAGCGGGAAAGTATTGAGAGACAGAATAGTGAATTGTTAGTTTACATGGGAGTTGTTGACAGTGAGAAAAAGAAAAAGAGAAATGCAATACAAGCCTTGTCCTTTCATTAAAACCTGTATTTAGGGGTAATGTAGTTCTACCAAGCTGCTCTGTTATGTTTTGGTAAATGTAATAGAGGAATTCGAATGTATTTTCTTCAAACTAACTATTGTATATTTTTACTTTTTGTCATTCATAAATATAGTAACACAGTGGCTGGTGTTGTAGCTAACTAAACAGCACAATGCTAAGTTTGTTTCAAATCTTATTTCTGAGCCCTCCACCATGGAAAGATGTGGCCGGCCTGCAGTGAGGGCCTCCCAACAATATTAGAGCGTTACTTACATTATTACAGATGCTTTATTGTACTATATACTTAGAGAGAATCTAACAAATTTAAAGCACGCAAGATGTAGCATATTTGTTAACGAGCATACAAAATGTGCTTCTTGGTGAAATAAATGTAAGAAAACAGATGATCGTTCCCAGAAAGATTAGACAGACATTTGTAAAAAAAAAATTAAAAAAACTGAATTCTTTGGAAAAACACAACAGAATACTTGCAGTGAATAGTAATTGTTGGCCACATTGCAAGCACTTCAACAGCAATCCATGACGAGCTGCACTTCGATTTCAGCAATCTTTTGCCGGAGTGTTTTTTTTCCTCCTTCGTAGCAGAATAGGAATCTGATTTTGGAGGTAGATGTAAAGAAAACCACATGATTGAATCTAAAAGAGTTCTTCTGTAAGTGCGTCTGTGTTGAAGGGCATTGTGCTGTGTGTGCAGCTCTGTGTGCCCACTGAGAGACGGTTCTCCTACCAAAATGTGTGTGTGTGTCTGTGTGCGTGTGTGTGTCTTGTTATCTGTCGTGCCTTAATGGAAGTCATAGTGTTTTTTGTCATTTCTCTCAAGTGCCTGTGTGACTCTGCACTGGAGATTAGAGGTCAGATTGACCATGGTCATCAGTAACCATCAATACACAGTGGACGAGCAAAGCGACCCCATGTCCCTCTTTGTCCTCATGTCTCAGCACCCACCTGTATTACCTGAGCTACCTCCTCAGTATAAACTTGACTCAGGTAAAGCCAGGCGTGTAAACACAGTGTCAGACGTGAATAATGGAGCTCAGACTGTTGAGTTGATCAAACTGCTTATCTCCAGTGAAGCCAAGTCTGTGTGTGTTTTTTATTGTGATTACAGTGCTTCACTATGTGTCCCCCCCCCTTTCCCTTCCCTCTTCATCCCAGCACATGCACATGAATGTGCTCACATTTGAAAAGGTTTTCTCTCAAATCTTTCTGACTTCAGTGAACAAACACAGGCAGCACACTCTGTCCGTCCGTACAGTACTTACGCCGTCAGCCGACACAATGCATCTGATCCGTCTTCAGTTCTTTTCTGGAGACCGGAGACTGTTCCTCCGTCCCTCGTGTCCCGCTGTGCATTTCAGACTCTTCCTGTGACCCCCATTATTTGATGTCTTTGATTCCTCAAACGAAGCTGGTGATATTTAAAAGGAAAAAAAATGTGAAATAAATCTACTTAATTGACTCCTGTTGAAGCGAATATCATTTTTGTGTCTTTCTCGGGTGGGGATGCCGCTTTATGTATTCTGTACACTTCAGGCAGAGATGCCCGATCAGGTGGTGGAACTACTGCAGTTCATGTGAAAAGATTTACGGAGTAGTTCAGTCTATTACAGAAGTAAAGAATGAGATATGATATGACATATTTATATTTAGGAGGAGAATAGAAACAGAAATAAGAGTATAAATGGGCGAGAGGCTGATCTTTAGTATATTTATTGTCACAATGATCAGTAACTCTCCAGCAACAATACGCTGACTACACAGGAATCACCTCCCACCAACCTAAGAATGCACGTGCAAATAGTTCACTGATAAAAGTGATATTTACACGTCTAAGGATGAAACAAAGAAAGCCAATTCGTTTTTAGATGCTTTAGAAAAAGGACGTCTTAAAATGAATTTGAGTACTTTGCAACCAAATCAAATTGTTTTCAGAATATTTGACCTTTTGTTTCTAGTACTTCTTTACGGGGCTTGTACAAAAGTTTATAGTTAGTCACAATTCCTCCTCGGCATTGAGGAGGTTGGTTTATGGAGAAAAACACGCAGCTGACAACACATTGAGCATAAAACTTCAGGTAACGTAAAAACGAGAAAGGCTCGCTCTCGAAGTGTTTGGTTTGTCCGTTCTGGGCTACTGTAGAAAAACGGCGGTGCAACACGGTGGACTCCGTGAGGACGGCCTGCTCTCTATATGAAGGGCTCGTTCTAAGCTAATGAAAACAACGATTCTTTGTTTCAGGTGATTACAGACTAATAAAACATAAATATGTTCTGCTAAAACAGGATCATTATTCATTTCATAACAGATTATACCACATCAAAACTCGAAGGAAATGGTAAAGTAGCACTGCGGGTCATCCTCTGGGGACCATGAATGTCTGCACAACATCTTGTTTTGATCCATCCAATAGTCGCTGATATATTTCAGTCTGGACAAAAGCGCTGGACACATCGATCAAGGGACACCTCTATTGCCGTGTCTGAAAATATAACAGAGTTCTTTGTGACTGTATTACACTTTATAGCCTTTATACGCTGTGTTGTATAATTTACAGCGCAGCTGGTAGACCATGAATTGCCAGAAGTGGGTCGCAGTAGAAAAGCTGCAGCCAAAGGTTATTAAGACAGATGGATAAGTGATTTACATTAGACTCTCATTTGGTGTAATTTTCAAAACGGCCCTCTGTGGTGTAATTTTCAAAACGGCCCTCTAGCCTCACTGAGAGACCCTGTGTACAGAGTGTGTGCGTGTGTGTGTGTGTGTGTGTGTCTGTGTGTGTGTGTGTGTGTGTGTGTGTGTGCACATGTGCATTAAGTGAAGAGCATAAAGATTTCTGGCAAAACCCCAAAAGAGCTAATGTTCAGATGTGGAGCGCTGCAGGCCACAAAACGGCAAGAGTGGATGTCTTTAGAGACCAAACCAATGCACCAGGGCGGCAGAGAGAGCAAACAATACCACTTCTACATGCCAGAAATGTCAAACTCCATGTGACCTTTCATCCCGGTTAACCCAGATGACATGCTCTCCGAGACAGAAAACACTGTAGCTTCAGTCCAGTCATCTCCCTACAAAGTGTGTGTGTGTGTGTGTGTGTGTGCCAGGACTTCTCCTCTGCAATCCTCTTTCATCTCTTCTGTATTTAATTATATCTCCCCTTTGAGCTCCTCGCCGCAGGACCATTCACATAAATTTCAAGGATTGTAAAATCAATATAGATCGTGATTGTGAGCCAGTATAAGGATGTCGACGTTGAGATAATGTGCTGCTGCTGTGCGGCCTGAAGCGGTGACATCTACCTGCAGTCACTGTATTTGTGCAGCCACAAGAGGGCAGATGGCACCCATGCACACAACGTTGTTTTTTAAATTCCTCCTGAATCTCTCATTTGTTGCTAATTGCTGATTACGTGCACACATGACGGAGCGCAGGAAGGCTTTGCTGTCACATTAATCCTGAACAGGGGTTAGTCATGTTGTCTCTGGGCTAGTTTTGCTGGTTGGCATATGGCACTTATGTGGCGCTCATCACTCCCGTCTGAGCTGTGGCAGCCAGAGGCTTGTACAATCCCTGATTGACACACCAGGCTTAGTCACTGCAACCACTTTCCATTGCCACGCTGCAAGGCTCTGGCTGCATCTGCTTCCCAGTCTGCACAAAGGTTGTGTAACTGCAGCTGCATGGGCAGTGGCCCGATGGTGCAGGGGTTGCTGTTTTTTCTTCATTTCATGTAGGTGTCAGTACATCTGCTGCATGCGACTGCACATGCACGAGCAGGACCACACACACACACACACACACATACAACACACATGCTCCCCTATCACTTTAAGACACACTGTCCTCTCTTTATTAGACCACATCCCTGCTCCTGGCCCCTCTGCAGCTTGCTGTGATATGAAATCTGACACTGTCAATTTGCCTCCCAATCCGTCAGACTGTGGATTGGATTCAGATGGCAGTGTTGTGGGGCCCGGGGACTCGGAGCTGTGGCCTAGGCAACTGCTCACCGCCATCCACCCGC